TTGTTTCACTCCGTAAACCAAGAGTTACGACTTCTTTCGAGGAGTTACGGCATCAACCATAACTTGAAGAGGGAGACCGTAACTCCAAAATTGTCTCTAGAACTGATGTATTCGCTGACCAGGAGTTACGGGTGCAAAGGCTGAGTTAAGGCCTAGACCGTCACTTCGAAGGTCTGCCAGTACCTCCAAAGAGTCTTCTAGAACTTTGCATTATCCACTCGCCAGTTACGGCTCCTTGAGGGAAGTTACGGGCCAGACCATAACTTGCAAGGTCTGGCCGTAACTCCCAGGTGCTCGCTGCTCGTTCGCTACAGAATGTCCTGAAACTTGCTCCTTCGCGCCCGTTCACGCACTAAGACCTGAAACAACATAAACTAACACACACAAGCGTAAAACAGGCCACGAGAGCGAGAAATCAGACCCAAACGATCAAGAAATGAGGGGAAAACATGTTCGAATATACTGTTATCAGATACCGTCACACCCCTAAGTGGATGGTGAATGGTGATCATCATCTCATATCAAGGATACCATCCAACCCCTGATTAGATGATGATCATCTCATATCAAGGATACCATCCAATTCTTAAGTGAATGACGACCATCCCACATCATGGATATCATCCAACCTCTAAGTCTATGGTGACAATCTCATATCATGGATATCATCCAATCTCTTAGTGGATTGTATCATCTTATATTAATGGATACCAACTGGATGATACCATTTAGGTTGAAGTATGGTGACCATCAAATCTAAAATGACGACTTCATGGATGGTCGCTACGACATGATCACGTGCTCAAAGACTTCGATTGGCGACAACTGACTCGCTTAGGTACTATTGCTTTTTGGGAAGAGGAGAGAGAGCAGTTGGATGATTCTCAACAACAAAACTTGAAGCAATCTTTTGGAGCAAAGGTTAGAAACACAATCCAATAACATATAATCTCATTTATTCCTTTTCATTTTTCTTTGTAGTTTGCAGAGCTTTCCTCCATGAAGGATCCTCCATATTCATAGTCTTAGTTGTAGTTACGGCGCTCTAAAGGAATCTCCATAGGAGTATGGTAATATTAACGTAGATTCATTTTTATGCACCAAACATCCTCATCCGAACAATGTTTAAAGAGTTGTGCATCGTAATAACAATCGCCACCTTCATAGAAGGCAGACACAACTCATCCAGCTATTTTTTCACCTTGAACAAATTGACATGTCAACGAATTTCATGAAGGAAGAAGGAAGACAAAGAGATCGAGCAAGGGAAATCAGTTGATTTTGGACATGAGATAGGTTGTGTGGAGATATTGTCCTCGTGGATCTAGTTTGGTTACTTTGATTCATTGTTGTAAACGAAAGCACCCAAAGAAAATGGGTGGCTTCGATGTCTAGAGTAAAATTGGACGGGTAGTTACATAAAAGTATTGTATCACAAAATCCTAAGATTTCATGTTATATTTGATACCAACAAAAGTTTGGTCGTTTTATCACAAGAGTCGAAATTAGGTTCAAAGCTAAAGCACCCACCAAATTTGCGGCTAATATAACAAAATGGTGAATTCACTTTAAGAGTGTACCAAAGCGATAACTTAATGACATTGCTACGTCTCCTAAGTCCTAACACATCATGATCGAGGCCCCTCGACGATCTTAATCGTTCGATCCAAACACAAACAACTTATAATAAATGGATCTGATGCATTAAGAATTTCAGCCGCCATTTTCTTATTTTCTTTATTATTTCTATTATTAATTATTGAGATATTCTTTTGGCTATTGTTTCGGTTTAGGATATTTTATCGTTTGGTAAGCGGTTTGGGATTTGTTTCCTTGTTCGGGAAAGGAAGGGTTTGTAGGATTAGCCTATAAATATATAAGAGGTTTTACGTTTTATTCACCAGGATAAGAATAAACCAGTCTTCCTTTTAGCCTCTTTCTCTCTTTCTCGTACGAAATCCAGACGCGTGAACCGATCACGCGTCAGGCTCTCACTTTGATTCAACGGTGTAGATCATACGACGTATTGATCGAACCGTATCAACATGTTTCGTACCGATTTTTCCATTAAATAACTAGCTATCATAAATTAATAAAAGTGTTACACTACAAAAGAAATCATATTTTTGAACTAATTAAGATCTAGGAAATGGAAAAATGATTGTGTATGGGTAAGCGACTTCCCAACTCATGTCTCCCACTAAGTTGTGTCTGGTCGGCCGGTTGTGAGACAATTGTTTGTGGGATCTATCTATCTACAGCCTCCCTTGTTTTTTAGTATTCGCTCACAGTCACAGGCAGCCACAAAGACATTACTTTTTCTTCCCCGCTCCCATTCGTCCTCTGCCTTTTCAGAGCTACACCTTCTTCCTATAGCTCCTCGCTCTCTTCTTCATAGTTTAGGTTCTCTCCATCATTCGTCGAAAATAGAGACAACCCAAACGCTTGGAAAATAACAGGAATGCTCAAAATGAAAGAAACAATGCATGATCAAACCGGGTAAGGTGATTTCCTTTATTGAGTATAACTACAAGGCAAATTGAGATTGCGCGACGATGGACAGAGTTGTGAACGGATGGCTCAGAACTGAATAGGCCAAGGGAATCATAGGCAGAAAGAATCATAGGACAAAACATTCTCCAACCCCTTCGAGAATTTCAAAACACATTAAAATTTTATAAACCTATAATCAATGTTATTTAAGCAACAAATGGTTCTGAATATCACTCCAAAGCATTTGCCTTAGTTGGATTTCGGTAGTTCCGTACTAATTTGTAAATTAGGTGGAATGCATACATTTTTTTGTTCAACCAATTAATCGTAGATGGATCGTATAGTCCATCACATTTTTCATTTGTCTCCAAATAACATAATTGATTGTATATGTTTTCACATTAGCTTTTGTATGTCTCTGTCAGTAATTTCATCATTCGTTCCGTTAATGATTTAAACGATAGTGGTGCCATCTTCATTGGGCCATTTATCTTTTTACTATTTTCGTCACAAATTTTAACATCTACAAATTGAAATTTAACATGACTTTGCTTTACCCCCTGTTTCCGAAGTAGGGGAGGAAAAGGAGGGGAGGGGAGGGAAAATTTGGAGGGGAGGGAAAAGTGGAGGGGAAGGGAATTGGAGAGAAAATGTTGTTTTGTTGGGGAAAGTGAAATGGATAGTGGGAGGGAAAAAGTATATAGGGAAGTGTGTGTGATAAATATGTTATTTTATTGATTATGTAATAGTAAGTATATGTAAAAAAAATGTGAAAATGAATATTATGAATAACTAATTTCTACATAACCATGATCATTTTTATTATTTGTTAATCGAACATAAATTGTTCATTTAACTCGATTTTATTTTTTCATACAAATTTGATTATCTTTGTAGTACAAGATTACGTCCATTCTATAAAAAATGTAACACTCTGATGTCGTTTTACTTGAAACTTAACACACATTTACATTCCACATAATTTTGTAACATAACGTTTTGTGGGACTTATGCAGGCCCGTCAATTTAAAAAAATTCCCATATAAATTGGATTAGCTCTACTTTACAAAATGACATCCATTTTGTAAAAATTTCACTCTGAAACAGTAGGCATTTATTCAAATTATATTATACAATGTTTAAAAAACATAACCGTACCAGCCGGTCGGAACGGAAATATCGAATATCGATCCTAAAACAGTAGGCAATTTTAGCCGTAGAAAATGATTGAACTATAGTTAAACCACGATTTTAGTACAAATACATACTTTCTCGGTATAACATCCAGTACGGTTTTTTAATTCTTGATATTACACTCAAATCTCTCAACGCCCAATTAATAAAAAAAATAATATTAATTTGAACAATGAAGACCATAAAAAACAAAGTTAATTACAACTTATAATTATGTTTGACCTTACCCAAAATTAGAATTGAAAAGGGAGGGCGATTTCATTTTGTGGGAAGTAGGGTTAATAATAATATATAAAAAAAAATTTCTTCCCATATCAGTGTATTATAGTGAAACGCTGAAACTTATCCGCAGCAATAGCTTCGGAAGCAAAGGGAAAGGCACAAGCCAACAAAAATAGGTAAAAAAAGTTATAATGAAAAAAAGATTTAACAAAAAAATAATAAATTAATGTAAAAAGCAGCATAGATGAAGTTTTCTCTTCATTTTGGGAGGACTAGTGGAACAGTGTATTTTCTATCCCATTTTCTTTCCTTCCTTTCTGTAGCGGGCTTCAAGAACAGCGGAAAGTGCCTTGGGTTCCTCAATTTCTAACCCTCTCTTCCCTTTCCCTCCTTTTCCCCTCTTCCGAAACAGGGGGTTAAGGAAGAAACACTTATGCTAGCTAGGTTGATTTCTTCTATGTTATTGCTTATCTTGCCTTTATTAATTAATTAATCAAATTGTAAACAGGAATGTTTAAGGGGTCGTTTGGAAGTTGTGATTGTTAGAGTTGTGTTTGTTGAATACATGTATTATGCACAATACAATGTTTGGAAGTGTTAAAGTGTAAAACAATGCATGTATTGTTTTAGGTAGGTCCCACCAACAATCACAAAAAATGATGCATTATACAATCTCAACTAAAAGTTGAGATTGTTGTGATTGTTGGTTTTAGATTTGTGTCAACTTTTTATTTCCATTTATATCCCTAAAATTTTTTGTCTTATTCTAAAAGTTGAGGGTAAATGTGGCATTTCCCCATAAAAGTAACTTTATGCAAATCAATGCATAAAGTAGAATCTCAACAACCAAACAATGTATTGTTAAAATGCATCCATTGTATAAATACATGCGTTTATATTATGGTGATTCATTACAATGCAACGATTTAACATTCGCAACTTCCAAACGACCCCTAAGTTCAAAAGTGAAGGCAAAGAAAGAAGGGGGAAAGCAGGGGAACATGCAGCAGCGCGTGTGAAAAGGAAAGGTGTCAAAGGAAAGCTATAAAGTTACAAGAAAGTAAAAAGGAATAAGGAGAAAGTGAAAGAGGCTGAGGAATCACTTAATCAGAGAAGACAGAACAGCCAGAAAGAGAGAGAGAGAGAGAGAGAGAGCAAGGCCAAGGCATTGGTAGCAGAAGAAAGTGACCATTGTTTGTCCCCTAATATTCCAATGAGGTCCCCCGTCATCATATCACTACTATTCTTCATGAAAACGAAAAATAGAAAAGATGGATCAACTTGGTGAATTTGGCTACGGAAAGTTTAATACGTGCTAACATCGTTGGAACGAATTGATGATACAACATAGGATAAGTTAATGTGAGAACTATAATTACAATCAAAGGGGAATGTGAAGGGTAGTAGTGAGACATTTCTTGTTCTTTTTGCTCCTTAATAATTTGACTTGCAACCCTTTTTACCTAACATCAAAATGAGGGGGGAGAAAATAACAAAAGGGACAACAAAAGATTTTGGTCAGTGAATCTCAGACTTGGTTTGAGGCCATTTGAGATTGCTTGCTGCTTTGACCCATTGCTTCCTACTTCTTCACTTCACAAAACCACAAAATCCTACCAAGGCATTGTTTGGTTGAATGACATTCAACCTCCCTCTTTAACCTTGCTGCTTAGTTAACCTTTTTTCAGTATTCTCTCTCTTGTCCATCTCTTCCATCCTCCTCCTTTCTCATAGTCCCAGCAAAATGTAGTAGACAAGGGTGAAGGGTAGGGCAATGAGCATCCCAAATATGACCCTGAAAAGGGAGAGAACAGAAAGAGAGAATGTTCTCTGAAAATGTTAGCAAAAGAAGGAAAACAGTAAAAGCAGCTAAGTATAGAGCTGAGGTATAGCTGCTACAGGCAAGAAGAATCCAAAAATCACTCACCCAGTACTTAGAATATCAGGATGCACATTGTATTCCTTAGCAAAGACAAAGGGAACAATCCCCTGTGGTAGAGCTGCCTGTTTTGTTTTTTTGTTCAAGGGGGGGAGAGGGTTGGGTTTGTCCATTCACACAAAAACAACATTTACTGTTAGTAAGAATTCATCATTCCTATGGTACATGTACTACACAAACAGGTAGCTAAGAGTTAAGATAGTAAATCCAAACAAGTAAACACTACAAGGAAAGAATTGAGCCTTATCCTCATATAAGCAATTGATAATGAAGCTAAAGATCTTGTTTCAGGAGTTAATAATGAAAGAGAGGGGAATTGGTAGTGTCAGGAGGGGGCAAAACACAAACAAAACCACACAAAGGGTACCCTACAAAAGGCTTGGGGTCCCAAAAGGAAAAGGGCAACAGAGAAACAAACAAACAAACCTGGACAATGGCAATGTGAAGGAGAGTGCCCCTGAGGCCAACCACAATGGAAGCAGCTGCCATGACAGCTGGTCCAACAAAGAATCTCACCCCCATTGCAAAAGCTGCTGTTGATTTCCCACATGCTATGATCCTTGGCTGCAATGCCATGAACAACCCTACACCCCACACCAAATAAAAAACCAAACTTTATCAGAAAAATGTGTATACAAATGGAAAAGGGAAAGAAAGACCACTAAAAAGCCAAAGAGAGAGAAGGGTTGCACTTCGAACTTTGCAGGCGAGCAAGCTGTGCAAGCAAGCTAGCAGGCAAAGCATGCCCATTACTCCCTTTACCCACCATTATGGTCATTATTGCTGCTTGCTATTGCCTATTGCTATCTCTCACATTCTCACTCACAGACCACGGCCAACCCGGGCCAGGCCGCCTTCTGTTCACTTCACTCGATCCTTGTCAGACCTCAAAGATTTCTTCTTTCCCTCATTTACTCCTCTTTCTCTTCAAAGAAAGATATTAAAAAAAAAACCCCACTTTTCCACCCCTTTCAGTCTTTCACCAAGGAATTATCGTCATCATCACTCCCACCACTCACCATATGCGAAAAGAAAAAGAAAGACCAGCCAAGAAACTATCATCACCACCACCCTCCTAATGCATCCTTCTATGCATATGCATTACCGTTGCTTGTTCATCGATAACTCTCTTTTTTCTCAATACCCACCAAATAAAAAAGACTAATAAAGACCCTCTGCTTTTGATCCAACTGAGGCACAAAAGGACACCTATTTATTACTGCACCACCGCTCCCACTGGTAACTGGTTCGACTGTTTACTCTCCTAAAACCACAACCAAAAGGCCGTAAACCCAGAAAGCAGCAAACTTTAAAGAACACGAACGAGACACAAAGTAAATGTTCATAATGATCATATAAGTTGTTGTATTATATCTGTGCAAAATAATACTCAACCAAAAGAAGATTTGAGTTTTGAAATTATACTGACCGAGACTGAACATGGCCATGCCGAGCCCTGCATCTGACAGAATCGAGATGGACTTGGCTATTATAGCAGGCATTGTTACATGCCACCTGCAACCCAAAACCCCACCACCATCTTCCATTAATAAACCAATCAATCTACCATTATCACTATCCACAATGAAAACCCAGGAGGAAAAAAAAAACAAATTGAACGAAATGATAATGAACCAAGGCCAAAAATGGCAGGGAGTGAGGAAGGGACCTGAAGGAGACAAGGGACCAGATGAGACCAATCAAGCTGGAGTAAGTGTTGGGATTCCTGATCAGCTTCCTCCACACCATGATCAGAATTAGCCTCGTCATCACGCTCGTTGGGGGCATAATTTTCGCCTTCCCATCAGCAGCCGCCGCGGCCTTCTCACCGGCGCCACCACCTTCGTGGCCATTGTTCATCACCATATCCCCTCCTCTGTTCCCAAAGCTGAACTCGTCTCTCTCCACCAAGTACTCCTCGCCATGATTCTCCCTCTGCTCCACTGCTCACCCACCACAACGAAACAAAAAACCCATTCAGAAAACGGCAAGAAGTGAGGGGAAAAAACAAAACAAAACAAAAACAAAATTATAAAACTCCGAATGGTACCTTTCCCAGATGGAGAAACAGCCACTCTAACGTCCTTGTGGTCATTATGATGGTTATGGTGACCACCGTACTCATGGCTACCAAACACATCCGAAACCGGGGACGCGCTCGAGCTCCACACGAACATATGAAGATCCTTCCCCCCTTCTTCACCACCACCGCCTTTCTGCTGGCCGTTAGCATTCCCCTTCTTAACCGGAGGGGGAGGAGGAGCAGCACCGGCACCCTTAGCCGCGGTGGTCGGCGAAAACATCCCCGGGTTGGGAGCCGGGTAATGGGCAGGCGGAGGCGGCGGAGCCCCATGGACGTACCCAGGAAACCTCCCTTTACCGTCCTCATCGTAATTAGAATGCCTGGGAGTCGGGCCGCGGGACGCCGACATACCATACACATCATTGGCCCCAAAATTGGAGCTCCGACCCGCCGCCATCATCGAGTAGAAGTCGGTGTGATTAAAGCTGGACCCGCGGGGGGTGGGATTCCTGGAGGACTGCAGAGAGTAAATCTCGGCATTCGTCAAATTGGAGGGACGCGGGGTGTTGGACGAAAGTCCTCCCTGCGACCTCCGCGAAAAGATATCCGATCTGGAGGCGTTGGAGCGCCTGACCGTGACGTGCAGCTTGCCGTCCTCCTTAATCTGGGCCTCGGTCTCGAGCGGGTGGCGGCCGTCGAGCGACATGATGTCGGAATCGACGTGAATGGAAACAATGGAGCCGGCGGTGTCGGGGAACTGCTCGGAGATGAGGAGCTTGGCGCCGCGGTACTCGAACATGAAGAGCATGAGGGTGTACCAGATGATGCACTGGAGGACGACGATCTGGACCATGAGCGTCCCGGAGGCGTCGCCATACATGCCCTTGAGCAGAGGGATTCCCATGACGAGGGTGTTGGGTAAGGTGGAGAGGGAGAAGAGGGTGATGGTCCAGTCGAGCGAGCCGCGGCGGGTGAGGTTGGACCAGAAGGCGAGGGCGACGAGGATGATGATTTTTTGGAGGGTGTCGGCGGCGATGAAGTGGAAGTTCATGGCGTATGGGTCGTTGGTGGAGATGAAGTGGAAGGAGAGGAGCGGGACGGCGAATAAGGCCACGAATCGGTTGATTCCCGAGCATTGGTCCGGGGTGAAGATCTTCCACCACTTCACCGACCCGTACGCCAGGAACATGGCCACGTACAGCGGCACCATTGCCGTCATCACGTGGTAGAAATCGGAGCCGGTGATCATCTTTTCTTTCTTTCTTCTTCTTCTTCTTCTGGGTTTTCAAGTTCTTGGGTTTGTAATTACAGTTCCAATGGTGAAAAAAGGGAAGAAGAGGGAGAGGAAGGAGAGGGGGAAAAGGGAAGAAGAAGCATGTGGGTTTTGTTCTGGGGTTTATGGGGTTTGAATTGAAGAAGGAAGAAGATGGTGGGAGGGTGGAAACTTTTATGGCCGAGGAGAGAAGAGAGAGAGTGAGTCACTACTCACTCGGCTGGCTTGACTCGGGCGGTGTACTATACTCTAGTTTACACGCGGAAATTAATTAATTGTATAATCTAATTAGAAGTAAAAAAAAAAAAAGGAAGAAATAGAAATTCTTTCTTTCTATGGTTTTGCTTTTTGAGGGGGGCAGCTTTTGTATTGAGAAATACGAGCAAAGGGTTGCAGTTGCAGTCCCCAATGCACAGGCGTTTGTCCCCTCCCCTCGCTCATTTATTTCTCCCAAGGAGGATCAATGGATCCTAAAAACTCCTAATACCATATTGAGTTTAGGACGTCCTAATGGGAATTATAATACTTGGATTCTCATATTTCATACCCAAGTTCGACCACCCGAAGAAATCAAGAGGGATTTACAACAAATAAAGCGGCAATTGGAAAGCTCGGACGAGTGACGGCGACATAAAATGAACAGGTCTGACAATTTCAAAACGAGGGTTGAGAGATGAATTGGGTGGAAGACATAGTCGAGGATATGGAGATAGAGTCGACTCAAGAGGAAGAAAAGGGATAGAATTCAATGAAATTTGAGTCAAATCTATGTGATCCAATTTTGACATTTATTTTGCACGATCAAATGTTGGTTTTCAACTCATTGTTGCGTTATGTGAAATTTTGGCTCAAATTATACACCAAAATTTCCACATCCAAATCATTCCTAATGTCAATGACCATTAAGACCATAGTTTGATTGATTCTAAAATGTCCAAACCTAAATTCAAACCCATCGGTTAATTATCTCTAGCAAAATTTTCCTTTTGTATTTTATTTCCCCCCTCCCACGAGTATAGGAAGAGGAAGTTTTATTTGTTTGTTTGTTTGTTTGGATGTGGTTTGATTCGTGATACGAGACTAATGAGGGGATATACTAGTTAATGTAACCGTTAATTTTTCATATATTTCCCCAAGTTGTTGGTTTGTGAAGGGAATTTGAAGTGATGACAGGTGGTCTTGATAAGCTGGATGGAGGGGATTTAAGTAAACAAGTTGGGGGTTCAATCTTGGTTACCTCCACGATTTTATAGCAAAGTTGTGGCATTCTAACTTTTGTCTTATATGTACCGTACGTAGATTTACTAAACTTAATCCTCTATATGGATGGTTGAAAACTAAGTGGGTAAAAGGGTTCAATGCACAGTTATCCTTTTCAACCTTTTTTTTTTTACAAAAGATAATCATATATTAAGATCAAAACAAAGATAGTTACACCCTAGAAGCCAGCCAGGTCTGAAAATCAAAAGAGCGACATGCAATCGTAAACAAGGACAGGGCTTTCCTAGCTACGACATGAGCTACCCTATTGTTATGCCGACCTACAAATCGTAAACTAAACCCCGGACTCCAACCAAGCAATTGAATAACTTCTTCAAGAATAGCTCCAACTTGGTTATCCCGAGTATCACGACGCAAAATCTTCTCAATCACCACTTTGGCATCGCCTTCAAATCTCATCTCCATAAAACCGAGGATCCTGACCCAAGACACAGCCTCACGAAGGGTAAGCAACTCCGCCACCAATGGATCATCTAAGCCGTCAAACTGGACCCCCTTAGCCAAAATTATTTCCCTAGCAGGTGTCAAGATAACCATCCCCCTGCCGCGTGTGATTCACTTTTGGTGGCCCCATCCCAAAGACAAACTGCCCCATCCCCCAAATCCAGGGCAGGGGGTGGAGAGGCTGCCCCAGAGACACTGGGTGAAGCATTATGAGGCAAAGAAGTCCATTCCCAAAGCTGCTGCTCATACTGCCCTATCAGTGCCAGAAACCCAAACTGCTTCCCCTCGAACACCACCCAATTCCGAGACCGCCAAATTCGCTAGAGGAGCGAGACAATGGCCATAACGACTGATGGGTGACTCACCCTAGCCAATAAGGTTTTCAAGAAGAGAGGGAAAGTGTGTCTCGGCAACCCCTCCCCAAAATGTTGCAGACCAGCCATATCACAGAGGGAACAGGCCACAGGGCAATCCAGGAACAAATGCTCCAAAGTTTCAGATTCAACCCAACACACCGGACATCTGGGGAGGACCTCAACCTCTTTCTCAATCAGAGCCTCAGTAGTAGGCAAAATACGATTGAGGATTTGCCAGACGAAGATCTTCAGCTTAGGGGGTAAATTAGCATTCCAAACTCTGATTTAACTGGCTCGATCCATCCAGCTGACACAAGACCTCCGGGTCCCTTTCTGCTGATCAAGGAGCACCGCCAAATGATAGGCCGTTTTCACCGTAAATTCGCCATTCGGAGTAGCATGCCATATCAGATGGTCCTCCAGATTATGTCTGGGCAACGGGATAGCCCTAATAGCCTGGCATGTAGGAGTATGGACTATCACCTCTGCTACTGTCAAGGTTCCCTCCGCCGGAAGCACACAGTGATTAAAGACAGGAAAGCACGGATGACGCCTAGGAATCCAATAGGAAGTAAGTAGAGGAGCAGTCAGACTATTCCCAATTTGCCAGCGCAACCCCGATTCCAGCAGTTGTCTCCCAAACAGGATGTTTTGCCAGCCCCAAGAGGGTCGGGATCGTGCTGTGGCAGTTAAGAAGGATCCATTCGGGAAATACTTACCCTTATAGACCTGGGCGACCTCCATTTTACAATTCGAATAAACAGAAATTTAACTTGTATATGTATTGGGATTTTGTCATTGGTCATATGAAGACATATATAAATATTGGCATCTTGAGTATTGAGATTTGAACTTTAATCACTGCAATTTTTTTGTACTTGTTATTGTCGGTACAGTTTATAATTTCTTGATCAAGAGCATCCTCATGATCGTAAGCAAGTAATATATATATATATATAGTGACTACTTCGGTGCACTCACAAAAATGAGTGCGTTCAATGCACCCAACTAAAAAACTACGCTTAAGGTGTCTGATTTTGAATTTTAATTTCTAGAATTAGTGTAATATGATGATATAACATATGATAACAACTAATTAGCGGATTACCCTAAGCCCCAGACCTCCAATTTTGAGTTCTATCCCTAAACCCCAAATTGTAAACTCTAACCCTAACCATAAATCTCTAAACTCTAAATCTTTCAAATTAAAGTAAATCTTCAATGGTTTTTGTGCAAATTCATGTGCGTTATTGTTCAGTACATCATAAGTGATGATTGACATCATTTTGACATAAATCACATGTTTATAATGACGGTTATGAAGCGGGTACACTGAATGCACCCAAAAAAGTGAGAGCACCGAAGACGCCACCATATATTTATGTCATACTATCAAGTAATAATTGTTTCATTATAGAAATTCACAATGCTTGTTCAAGTGGTACATACATCACTCCACATATGGAAACATCGTCGCCTAGAAGATCAGTAAATGAATAATGTGATTATTTAATTAGTGTCACTTGTCGATCCATTTGCTTAATTTATTGATAGGGTAAATGACACATTTGGTCACTGAGATTACTAAATCGTGTCATATTTAGTCACTAGAAAAATTTAATATCAATTTTTGTCACTCGAATTACTGACACAGGTCACATTTGGTCACTCTTCTGTAGCCTCTGTCCAACTCCGGTCACTCGAATTATTGAAAAATGTCACATTTAATCACTCGTATTACTGAAACATGTCACATTTAGTCACTCTCCCAAAAGTTTCCGTCCAACTACATTAATGGAGTTGGACGGAAACTGACGGGAGAGTGACTAAATTTGACCAGTTTCGATAATTCGAGTGACCAAAATTGATATTAATTTTTTCTAGTGACTAAACATGACACAATTTAATAATCTCAGTGACCAAATGTGTCATTTACCCTTTGTTGATAGTTGCCGTTTACGGTGTTTACTGAATATATATATATATATATATATATATATATATACCATGAAAAATCAGAGGAAAAACATTATGCCGACTTCTTCCAAATGCTGTTCATTCTTGTTTTCATCTTCTGAAAGCAGCAAACCCTAGCATTCTTCAGAGATAGGTTTCTATCTTTTTCACTTATAGTTATGTATAGAGGGAACCATCATTTTTTTTTTATATATAAAGAAGGCCGTTGGATGTAATTAATTACTAGACTTGGTTATACTCTCCTTGAATCAGTGAGTTGTCTGTTCTGATTGGTAATAATAATTATGGGTTGCAGCCGTGATTATCTCAGAAACCCGACAAGGGAACTTCATAGTTAACCAAGGGCGAGAATTGCATTTAACTTGCACCCCCCAAAAAGAAATTAAAGGAAAAATGATTTATTAAGGTAGATGAAACTTTTGTCGTTAATGACAAGTGCTGTGTCTGTCTGTCTTGAAGTTGGTAAAGAGATTATGAAGTTGGAGTGCGCATGCTCCAAATTTAACAAAAACAATTCATTAATAAGGGTTGTTTGATTCCTCCCATGCATGGTCAAATGGATGTAGTAATGTATGTATTATAGATATATAATGGATTTGTTTGATTAAAATATTTAGTATTTGCGATTGTATTTTTAGCAACAAAAAGGAAAATCGTTTTTAATGAAAATGTAACTTGTTAGTGAATTTAAGTACCAAAGTGCAAGTAAGAAACTGTATGTCTATGGTTTGTCACATAAGGAGAGGGACAGGTTATGGTGATTACTACTTTGTAGTAATCACCATAGTTACTAAGGGTAAATTGGGTATGAAAATAAATTGTATTAATTAAATTTTGTAATAAATTACATTTTAAGTAGTTACAAAAATCTATTAATTATGATTCTCTCTCTTTCTCTCACTTCCATAATCTCCAGCCAGATCCTCTTTCCTTATTTTTCTCAATCTTTCTGCAAAAGAAAAAAAACACGAAATCACTACCAATCCATTAGACTACCACTTTGAAAAACATCAATACCATTGCAGAAATAAATCAATATCATTACACGAAAACTACCAATATAAACAATCTACCAATATAAATCTATACCATTTCACAAAAAATCAATACCATTGCAGATTTAATCAATACCAATATATGCAAATTAATACCAATGCGACAAAAACAATACCAATCCAAGAAAAATCAATACCAATCCAAGAAAAGTCAATACCAATATGAAAAATCCATACCAGCCTAGACAAAATCAATACCAATCCAAAAAAGATCAATATACCAATACGAAAAAATCCATACTAGCCTAGACAATCAATACCATTATGAAAAACGTACATAACAACCACTACCAATACGATTACACTCAAATCAATACCACTACAAAAAAAAGTATCAAACCAGTACCAATACGAATACACTCAAACCAAAGCAATGTCATAATAAAATTGAAGCAATACCAAATAAATAAAAAATCAACTAATACGACATTAAAAGGGAACCAATGCCAAAACTAAAAAAACTAGATATATGTTTTTATGTTCTCCGTAGAGGAGATTAGCTACTATTAAATTATTAAAACACAAACAACTACCAAAATAAAATCAAATCAACACCACAATAAAAACCAAACATCTACCAAAGCAATATCCAAACCACCGTCAGAGTTAGCCGTGCGTCCATGCATCGCCTCTGTTGGCATTTGAGGGATACAGAGAGAGAGAGGGAGGAGGGGAGGGTCGTTAGGTAGAGAGAGAGAGAGAGGAGGGACGGTCGGAGGTGGTGAGAAGGAGGAGGAGGGAGGGCCGGTGGATGGCTGGAGGAGAAGGGAGGGCCAAACACGGTCGGCAGTGACGGCTGGAGCTTATCGCTGGAGAGAGAGGGAGACGACTGAGAAGGATGGGTGGAGAGAGATTAGGTTTTAAGAAATAAAAATCCGGTGTGATAATTTTTTTATTTCCAAAAATACCCTTAATCTAATCTGTACCGTCAATTTAAAAATAGGATAAAATATAGATAATGAATTGTACAGATTTTAATAGCCACCGTGATTACTCAAAATTGAGTAATCACGCTAACGCATTCCCATAAGGAGATCATCAAATGGAGTCCTACGAAAGACTTGAAATTTCTATTACTGTTTTTTTTATAATGGTGATGATAAGATTAATGAAAAAAGAAAAAGGTTCAAACTTGATACAAAACAAACCAAGCAGGGACCACGAGAAGTGATCACAAGCAAAGCAAAAGAAACACGAAGAACAAAAAATACAAGAGGGGCAAATAGACAAATGCAGAACTAATCCGCCAAGAAAAACGAGGTCACCAAAAAGGAAATAAGAAGGAGAAAGACAACACAGGTGCTAGGAGGACCAAACCTTCCCTGCACGTGAAAGCTAAGGAAAACATTGCGCCAATCAACCAGCAAACAGACCAGAGGGACAACAAACAAGGATTCCAACAGTCTGAACACAAAAACCCCAAACAAGCAGAAGGGCTAGCCGCACACCAGCGGGAAAAAGATCGCACCAAACACCGCTCGAAGAATTAGATATGACTATTGTTCAGCCACTCTAACCTCAGTAGAGGTGGCAATTGGATCGGATTCGTGGATTCGTGGATTGGTGGATCCATGAATCAAATAGATTGGATCCAATGGATTGGTGGATTCATGGATTGGATCAAATGGATTGGATGATTGATCCATGAATCCAAATGACATCAAAGGCTTGGACCAAAATGTAAAATTTGACAAGTTTTGGTACTAAAATGTCATAATGAAAAATTTTAGGAACCAAAATGTAAATTTCCAATGATATTTTTCGTATAAAAAATATAAATTTTAGGTACCAAAATGTAAAATATAAAAAATATAGGTATCAAATCGTAATTTACCATTTGGATCCATGGATTGATCCATGAATCCACCAATCCAATTGGATTTTGATCAAATGGATTGGATTTAAATGGATTGGATTAGGTGGATAATTTGGTGGATGGATTGAATTGGATTCATATTTTTGGATCCTTATTGCCACCTCTAAACCACAGGTTCCTCTCAATCTTTCCATGAGCAATGAGCCACTCAATACTATTTCTTGTCGATTTTCGCAACACTCCATTAGACGAGCAGCTAATGTCCCGGAAGATGCGGTTGTTTCTCTCAATCCAGACATGCCAACACACAACATGCAGAATACAGGCCCGGAATCACTCACAAACATTATCAGAAGAGCGGGAAGGCCAATATCTGACAACCGTATCAAGATCACCCGCCGAGATGCCACAACTGCCATAGATGGATTCTACGCCTCTCCAAATGGTGTATGTGTAGCTGCAATGCAATCAACAAAAATATGGCGAATGGATTCCTCTTCTCTTTTGCAAAGCACACATTGGTTTGGATATGAAATCCTCTTGGCATAAATAATTGACAACGAGCACCAGACCTTGATTCACAAGCTTCCATAATCAATTTTGCTCAAGCGATAATTAGAAACGATTTCTCAATTATATGGAACACCCCCAACTCTGGAATGACAAATGGAGCGGTGAGATATATCTCATTTCAAATAGGCATTTTTGTTTGTCCACTCATCCACATTCTCATTCGATTAACAAAATAGGAAGATGAAAGAAAATCAGCAAAGACTATTAGGCAGGCATATGTGTCTATCTAAAACTCCATCAATTCATCCTTCAAGCTAAGTATCTCTTGTCCTCTGCATATTTATGTTTCATTATTTTGGGGATATTATATATTGATTGGAAAAAATTAAAGACCAAGGAGGACAACTAGGGGAGAAGCCACAATGACACATCTCTTTCTAAACCACCCACCAAGAATAACCCTATAACTAAAGTAATATCCCAAAATAAACATAATAATAATTATAGCATAAAGAGGTCCAGAGGCTCGACCGCATGAATGCATCACAAGAAAATGAGGACCTCATATAGATTATAGATGGTATAGGAGAAAGCCTAGGAAGAATTTTAGAATGATATCATAGGTTAGTGAAAAATGGATTCAAATTCTTTCATTTTACTATTTTATTATCGAAATTTCTTGCAAACGCTTAATACACTCGAATTAGTTGTCAATCCAAGGGTATGGCCACTTGCACTCACCCCCCATCCAACTAGGGTTCATCACAGTCCACACACTCCCTCCCTCCATAATTTGATTTTCCTTGTAACTTCTCACCCATAAGTTAGTAAAACTTATCCTAACCATCTCCATCACATCAACTGAATCTACTCAAACAATTCTCTTCGACATATTAAACTATCAAAGTTTGATTCTTCATTCCATGGTGGTTTGTTTGTTTCATTTGTCCTCCAATCACAACAACAAACAAACAAACAACCAAACAACCAAACAAAGCGAGCGCCATGGTTAAAAAGATCGCAAGGATTTGATACCACCGCCACAGCTTCACGTGGACCTTCTTTTGTCCATTCTTCAATGGATTTCTTTATTGCACATTCCGTCTTGTTCTTTTCCCCCTCAACTGGATTGGATGGCGTAGCTTCTAGACTTTTAGCCACCATCCATTTTTGCAACCAAACCAGAGCCTCCAAACCCATTTCCCCTGCGGCCATCGGCTCTGCTGCTGCTGCTGAGCCTTTTTTTCTCTCGCTCTTTTCAACTTCGCTGTTCCCCCTCTTTTGTGTTCTCTGGTTGCAACCCAACCGGCATACATGGATGGGATTCTCAAAAGACTTGCGCCTTTCTTTTCCTTTTCTGTTCTTTGTGTGAGCACTGAGCTCAGAGCTCAAAGTGGTTTCCTTTCCCAGATGGGGATGGCGACGTGACCAACTCTGCCGAAGGAATCGTTCTAATCTAACTGGGGAGAAAGAACCGGAACAATGGAAAAGCTAAAGCTAAAGCAAAAGCAAACCGAGTCTCTGTGGAGCCGGAAATGTCCCAATTGAAGGTGAGAACTGGTTAAAAGGAAGCACTCATGTTTCCTGCAGTGGTTGTCTCGAGAATCATTGTGAAATAACAGAACAAACACATAAAAACATAGATAAGGCGTGGAGGGCAGCAGAAGTAAAGGAAGAATGTAAGGCATATATTATCTTCATGCATCATTTTCAGGTTTCCTGGAACATAATTCAGGATGATTGGCAACACATCATCTGTCTTTCCAAGTTCAAATCCTAGTTGAGGACTGGTAATAAGATGGACATTCATGACATATAGTTATGCCAGGTATGTGCTGATTAAATACACCAATAACAATTTAAATGAGAAAGAAAAGACCATTCATGAGATCGATCTTCAGCTTGCGGTACTGCACAACCTATGAACAATATGGTGGTGTAAGCTGCATCGCCAAAACCAACAGGATAGTAGCTACACCAACCATGGAGTGTGTGTAAATATATATATGCTTCTGGAGATAGACTGACCAGCATCCCGGCTTTTAAGTCTCTGATTCTTCTTCTTTCGGGTTCCTTTTAAAAGCCTTTTCCGTGTGGGAGGTCAATCCACTGCAACTGAAGCTCAACTTCACCACATTCCACGTTTTTCAATCGGAGGCACATATCTTGAAGAACTTTGCCATCAACACATGTAATGCAGGTCTCGTCCGCCAAGCAGTTTGACCTGTTGGGGTGTATTTTTGTGATGATGGTGCCGTTTGGTAGGCCTGACACATCCATCTTTAATGCATCCATGAATGGTTTGATGTCGAATTCTGCCTCCCCCATTTTGTCATCTAAGCTGAATGTGTCATAGTCATAAACAGTCTACAAGAACAGATGGAAATATAACAGATTGTTAGTAGTGAACATTGAGTTTCACCCAGTCTGGAAGTATGCAGCTTCAGCTACGCCCCAGCAAGTATGAACTACTTAATCTGCTAGTTTGATGGTTAAACTTCAAACAAACAGTTCTTGGGAAGCAGAAGCATTTGAAACTCTGTGCTGTAACTCAAAGTCCACGGGACTCAAAACGGCAGAGCATACTACAAATAAAATTCTACCCAACTCCCATGCTGGAAACGCATGTTAAATACCAAAAACTCAAAGTTGACAAGACATCACAGAGTGGTGCATGGAACTCAAAACTATGACCATCAGTACAATAGCTTTTCCCCCTCTTCTAATGTCGTACAGTATCGAGTGATACAACACGTTGCAAATAGACTGAGTGTTAAACCACCTGACTTCAAACTTGTACATGTAGAGGACATTCAATATAAAAGTAAAATCTTGTCAAGTATTTTTAAACAACTCCGGACTCCTAAAGCTTGAGTTGCTTGAGGCTTGGATTAACATAAGCTTGGATTGAGCTCTTCCTAAGTTTGAATGTCTTACAATCTCAATCTCAGTCCTTGATAAGCAAGTCAAACATATAATTAGGCAATACTTGACCGGCTAAGCTTCCAAGCTTGCGAGTATCAGAAATTAAAACAGACCAGCCACTCATACTGATTATGTATAAAGCCACCAAGTGACTGGTTGTATATTGATATGCCTACTGGAGAACCAGTTTCACCAAAGGAGCTATAATGTTGTTCATATTAGTTTCTAATCTTATTGGCAGAGTATCTCTGTACACACTCTGAAGTGTCTTGGAGGCTTATTCAATGAAGTGGTAGATAACTATAGCCTCAGAATAAAAAATCCAAACCACACTTCCTACTTTAGAAAGGGACATTCTTTTGGAAGAGTACAGAAACTACAATTAGAACACGATCCTTACTGGGAAGTGGGAAAGATTAAATGAACAACCAAAAGCTTAGAAAGAGGTGTTCTAGTTGGTTCATTAAAAATTTTCCTACATCATTGTTTGTCTACCTTCCCTGATAAAGAGGGAGCATCAATTTAGCAAAAACCCCAGGTCTCCAACAGGAAACAAACTGCAATAACTCCTCACTCAAAATAGCACCATGTCCATAGACTCCATACCATTACAGGCACAATAAGGAAGGAAGAAGCAAATAAGGGAAACATACCAACTTGACTGGAAGATCCGGGTCAGTAACAGACAGAGTTAAATCTTCATTCCACTCAGGATTCACATCCTTCTTTATCACACTAGTCTTCAGTTTCTGCACAGTAGTCACCATAACATCAACATTAGCATCATTACTCTCGGATCACACAAACCCTAAGACCCAAACTTCCGTATTTGACAACAGAACAACACCCCCCTCTCTATATAAAGCAATCATCCCTAGTCAACGAGTCAGGCTGACTTAAATTGTTGATTGTAAAACCCTCCATCTTAGTGATTCCCAACTGGGTTCTCTTCCCAATCGGAATACGGACACATCTAATCTACATAATCGTTCCACCCTCATGAAATTGGGGGAATGGAGAGACAGTGATAAAACCCATTGGAGCAGCAGGAGGGTTATATAGTTATACCTGCTTGCCCATTTTGACGACGCAGTAAGGGTCGCTGCTGCGAACATCGCGGACGGCGAGGTTGACGCCGCGTTTGATTCGGATTCGGAGCAAACCCAGAAGGCTTTCCATCGGAGAAGAGGTTCCGTCGTCGGCCGGGGAAGAAGGTGCAGGTGCAAGTGGTGAGTCTGCCATTTTGACGCCGCCCCTTGTCTCCTTTTTATATAATTGGCCCTGGTCTTGATCTGTTGCCAGTCCAATCAAGGCTGCCAGCAAGAAATGATTTTTTTTTTTTTCCACAACACACAGGAATCAGGTCAAATCACCCACCCCCGCGGCCCAGAATTTAATCAATTTGATCCGTTCTCATTTCCTTCCTTACTCATACAACCGGTAACCGGTCGTCGTACCAGAAACAGAAACAGCTGTTCGTAAGTTTCCCAATATCTTTAGATGAAAAGTGGGAGTTTTATGTCAAAGAATGAAAGAACAGAATTTGAAATGCATTCGATTTTTTTAGATGATTCTATCTAAGAAAAATTCATTCATAAAATATAACACATGATTATATGAAATGTGTACATATAATTAAATACTACATAATCTCTCCGGAAGGAATTTTTTTTTCTAAAAACGAATAATAAACAAATCGGATCTTGCAATAGAAGATGTATAATTTGAAATGATAGATTCTAATTGAGATCTCTGAATGATTTGAACACTTACAACGCTGTTAGTAAAAAAAAAACAATTTTCATGAGACACTTCTCATTTCTTGCTATGACTTATGGATTTTATTCTTTTTATCTCCTGAATGTTGACAAAGGACGAGAGGAAAAGGGAGAATGATCAATTAGAATTTTGTTTCAATTATGCACAATCAAGATAAGAACAACTAGTACAAAAATTCATTCGATTCATTAAGAATAGCACACGCAGGTAAAAGGAACAGATGTAAATGAACCTGAATCACTCTGCGTTCTAAGAGGTGCACGATTTGTTGATGGCGGTGCTTTATTTTTTCGGCTATAATTGAAGAATCGTTGGATGTGGGATGAAGGAGAAGAGAAATTCAAAACTTTGGAGACCGAACTAGGGGACCTCTTGGGTATTAAATTTCTTCTTCTCATAACTCACAGGTTGCACAGTTTCCTTTTCAAGGCTTTTTTTTTTTTTTTTTTTTTGCTATAATAACTTTACTATTTGTATCAGGTAACTATTAACGAAGGAAAAAAATATTACGGTTCTTCCTCTCCTCCTCGACTACTCCTTTCATGTTTATATATATATATGAGGTAAATGTAGCTTATAATTTGGATTTTTGTCGACGCCAAATAATAATGTGGTTTCGGACAATACCTCTCCATGTCAGTCTTGGAAGGTTCTTCATGATTCTCGGTGGTCTGCATTTTTTCCTTTCTTTCACTTGTTATGGTTGGTTTTGGCCTTCTCTTCATATGCAATCGTCAAATTTTAATCCTATTCTTTATCATGTATACATATTCCATTTTTTAATTTTCCATGTTTTTTTCCTCTAAATGAGAATGTGACACTTTTTCCCTCTAAATGCTCTTGAAGTTCACCGTGTATGTTATATAAGCTAACCCATTTGAGTGTATTAGTTGGCTTTAATCCAAACATAAAAATAATCGTTTCAATATTTTGATGAATAAATATTTAGATAATACCTACACGAGAGTTCAATAAACCCGTTATTGTTTTCAAAAAAGGTTTAACCAACCTCCATCAAAAGCACGAGTCACTATTAGAGAGTTGAATCAAGGTGAATTAGCATGATAAATGTAACTATGAGAATTTTTAACATATGTCTATGATCAACTTAAGAAATGCCCAATATTCATGGATTAACAGCTTAATAGTTTTTCTACTAAATTTATTATGTTAAATATGCAAAATGTATGATTGAGTATCGAAGTGATATTTTGATAAGTTAGCCACCAGATATTTTTTTAGACGAACATCAAGATTACACATGAAAGTCCAATTAATCATTTTTGAAAAATATATTGAATAAAATATCATTAATTGTTTTGCAAAGTAATTTGAACATACTAACCAATCTGATTAATATATGGTTATGTCTTCGTTGCACTAACTTTTTTGGGTCCGTTCAATGCACTCGCCTAATAATCGTCATTCGGGAAGATAATTCATGTGAAAACAATGTCAATCGTCACTCATGGTATGATGAACAAGAAACATATGGATTTCTACGAAAATCATTCAATATTTTACTTTAATTTGAATGATTTAGGCTTAAAAATTTAGGGTTAGGGTTAGGATTTACAATTTGGGATTTTGAATTGTAATTCAAAATTGAAGATTAAAGGGTTAGGATAATGAATTAATTAGTTGTAATGCTGTATTATATTATCATTTTAGACTAATACTACCAATTAAAGTTTAAAATTTAATGTATTATGATGATTGTTAGATCAATGCACCAAAAAATTGAGTGCACTGAAGTATTCCTCACATATAATTAAATTCACGTCACCCGACAGAGGAGGTCAAAGTCAGTTAATAATTAAATTGTTTCATGGGTTGTTGTTGTTGTTTTTTAATAGGGGAAGAAGAGTGTTTGAAAAATATATAAACGTAGCTTTAAGAAAACGGGGAGATGGAGGTTACCGGGATTCCCGGTGGGCGGGGGAGAAAGAAAGAAACATTTGGCGGGCATTAGTTACCGGAAAGTGACGTGGGCAGCGGGATTTCAAGATCAGGCTCTAGTCCTCCGGCGTTGACATTGACTTTTCACGGTACAGGGGAAGTCACGAAGAGAGAGAAGGTGAAATGCGGCTTCCATGTCCATGATTAAATAACGGAAGTGAACGTGAAGTGGGCCACGTCACGCACTGGGACTGGGATAGATGTCAATCGGGCGGGTTAGGGCTGGGTTCAATCGAGTTCGGGTTGCGGGTTCATATAGGTTGCGGGTTCATCGTGTTACGGGTTTATCGGGTTCGGGTTCAAACGGGTTGCGGGTTAGTCAGGTTGCGGGTTCATTGGGTTCGGGTTCAATCGGGTTGCGGCCAAATCAGGTTACGGGTTCATCGGGTTTTGGGTCGGGCGGATTGCGGGCAAGTTGCGGGTTGATCGGGTCAGCGCATCGAGTAACTTACTACTTACTCGTTACCAACTTACACATTTTATTACACTAATTTAAAATATTTTCCTCAATTTTTAACCAAATTCTTTCTACCTCGTATATATACTTAATTTAAAAAAAATGTCAAAATGTTGAATCAATTTGTATAACTTGCAAACTTGTTATGTAATTAATCATAATTGGTAAAGTACATTAGTTAATAGTAATGGTTATATCAACACTTGCAACCAAAAGACACCATTAATTATTTATTTGATATTTTAATATTATTTCAGTAGTAATTGGATTAAAGTATCTCGTTTAGTATAACCATGCAAATCTGGTATTTGACGTGTGGTATTTGGCAAAAGTATAGTGGTAAACTATCAAATTTAGTAAACTGTTGCCAAACGAGTTATTTGTAAAATTGTTTGAGTTACCCTAAAAATTGAACCATTAAAGATTAACTATCAAATTTAGTAAAATTATTGTGACTTCAATCATAACTTACTCAATAACATATATCCTATACATTTAGCCTTACTCTCAACCAACAATATTAAGTTAATATATGTTGTCGATCGTATGCCCTAAACCATCTATATATTATACACTAACAACATACCCTATACCCTAACAATATATCCCTATGAGTTGTGATTTTGCTAGTATAGTTAATTTAAAGTGAAATTTATACTTTGATTTTCGAAACATAGATAAAAAGGGATATTTGCTATACCCTAACCATAGTCCATATATCCTATAGTCTACACATATACCCTGTACCCTAACCACGTACCATAAACATAAATTAAAAAGGGATCTCCTGTCATTAAAGATTTTAAATGACTTCAAGTGAACATATGTTAATAAGAACTTAGAACCATCAAACCATCAATACCTTATACCCTAACCACATACACCCTAAACCATCTGTACCTTATACCCTGTACCCTAACCATATACTTTATACCCTAAACAACGAACTGTCAAAAATTACTTATCAAGTTTAGTATAATTGTTGACTCATATTCACCCGCCCATAAGTTTTCCATTCCAAAGTTCCTATCCAAACCTCCCTCTCATTTTCCATTCCAAAGTGACCCGCAATCCGATTAACCAAAATTTTCAAACAAGCAACCAGACTAAGTTATTGCAATCGTAATACTTAACATGCCAAGTTCAATACCCATTTTGAAATGAAAGTTCAACTTCAACACAAGTTAATATATGCGAAAATATTACTAAGTGTTGTAAAATAACGATAATGTAGCGCTGAAATTGCAATAAATGTAGAAGTATAGAAAACAAGTAGACAAATTAAGTGAATTTTTCTAAAATAAATGATTGTTGTAAACACCAAATTTGTTTTCTTATTTCTTTTTCATAAAAAAATTAAAATACTAAAATCCCCCTCCTTTCTCCTTCCATAAATTAGAAACACTCAATTTTCCATCTCCTTTCTCTTCTATAAAATTGAAAGAACCACCAAATTTCCCTCCCTTTTATCTTTCATTTGAAGAACCAAATTTTGCTCCTTTTTCTCTTCTATAAAATTGAAAGAACCACCAAATTTCCCCTTTTTCTTTTCTAAAAAATTCAAAGAACCTAATTTCCCTCTTCTCCTCTTCTTTCTCTTTCCAAAAATTTAAATACACCAAAAAATTTCTATTCTTTTAAAAGCATCAAATGACTAAATACATTGCTTTACTTTATTTATAGTTAATTGATAACTTTATTGAATAGTTAAATTAACCAAAATTTTAATTTATATATTATATTAAGACAAAATACACTTGTATAGCCATAACTTTCACGTTTGTGACAAATATAGCCATAACTATTCGAAAACACAAAATAGCCAAAAAATGGATGATCGTGTAACAAATCTAGCTATTTCAATTAGAAACTTTAACGGTGTTAGAACCCCTGTCAGCTAGGTTAACGCTAGGCTGACTAGGATGCCAAATCATCGCACACATCAGCGACAACTCAACCACACTTGCCACGCAGGTGCCATGTCATATTTTAAATTAAAAATAAATTAATGAACTAATTTAAAAATCATTTTCTTCCCTTTTCCGCAAAAACCATTTTCTTCCCCAAATGCAACCAAACCATCCCCTGGCCCTCTTAGATTTCCCATTCGCATCTTCCTTCCCAAAATTTCAAATCGCAACAAGACATAGAGTAAAATCATACACTCGTCTTCTCCCCTGTTACAAAATCATTGATCTCTTACAAATTTCCAGATCGCAAATCCCATCGCTTCAACATCATCACTTTCCTTTTCCATGTCACGACTAGAGGAGCCGGAGCCGGCAGATCTGAATCGACGTCGTTCTGTATAGATCCTCCGCCGCCATCACCTCGACGACCGGCAATCCGTCACCTCACTGTTGCATCCCGCCCAGTCATCAACAGTTGTCGCGTCTACTTAACCCGCCTTCTGGTTTTGCAACGAACAGAGTCTTCCAGCCGGCGGATATTAAGAAGCGGCGGCGACAGCGAAGAAAGGATAGCCGCAACAAGCTCCTATCGCTGCCTTGCTGCTTCATTCCCCCCAATCAAAATCCTGAAGACCCAAACAAATTCGTTTCCCCATATCGCGCGTCGACATCGTGAAGGGAATGGAAGTAGGAGAGATGGGCGGCGACCGGCAGCGGCTACCCCACCACCACCTCCGACGGCTGCCAAAATCTACAAAAAAAAAAAATACAGATTTCTAGATCTCTCCGATTTAGGGTAGGGTCAATGACAAAATCTTGAATAAATGGGGGAAGGCTGAGCGAGAAAGGGAGAGAGGAGAGCATTGAGAAGTTAGGGTGAAGTTTGATTTTGAGAAGAGGTATTATAGGAGGAAGATGGGCGGTGGAGGTAGGGGTGTCAGTCGGTCGGTTTCGGTTTAACCGAAAACCGATTACTCGGTTATCGATTAAACCGAGTCGTCCCCTACACCTGTCGACCACCGACCGTGAGAAAAGCTACGGCTAGCCGACCATCGACTGACCGGTTTTTGGTTTTGGTTCGGTTATAACCACAAAACCGATTTTATATAAAAAAAAACAACCCTACCCCACCCACGTTCCTTCTCTCCTTTATTGTTAAGTGTTACCTAACAATAAAAAAAAATATATAAAAAGAAAGAGAAGAACAAGCAAGACAAAAGACAAAAAACAACCC